ATTTTGTGATAGAATGAAGCATGCATTTGTTGAGTTAGCTATAAGTAATTATTGGATGAAATTTACTCTTATTTAATAATATGGTAAAGAGAAACTTTTCCATATAATTGTTTCAAGGTTTTCAGGGCTAATGTAGTAGGAAGTATTTTTCTTAGATAGGCCATCAATTGAATCCTCAGAGACTACACATGTGTGCATGATCTTCTCTGCCATCCATAGAACTAATCATCTTCTCTAGCTTACCTATCCAAGCAAAGAATTCAAATTGTTTATGGTATTTAAATTTGAAAGACTTTATACATAGCTTAAGATAAGCAACTAATCCAACAGAAAAAAGCCAACCTAATTACACAAAGTGAATTAAGATCCCAATTCATGGCATAAGCTTAGGACTAATTATAACCACCAAACACGTCTATCAAATCTTTGTGTTATTGTTTCCATGCTGTTAAACTATTGAGAATGATTGCTACAACAAACATTATATATTCCAATTATTAACATGAAGCACCGCCAAGTACATCATGTTGTAAAATGTGATTAATGGTGCCGATCATAGCAATAATCACTGTCGTGGAGAACCTTAATGATGACAGTTTCTGCTTTAATTTATGCAAATTATTTTAATAATATGTGTTAATTAAGTGTGGGATCCACTAGTAACTTATCTTCATGTAGCATCAGTGGACTATGATCTGCCAACCGTCCATGTTGCCCAGTATGTAATTATTTTCATAATCATTCATTTATATTGGACCAAGTTCTGACATGAAAGTTCAAGAGTTGACCTTTTTTTTTTTCCCTTTAAGTTCCTCAAAGAGGAAAAAAATAGTTCTCTCTCTCTTTTTTTTTTTTCGAATAAATGTAAAGTACACAAATTGCAAATAGGATGATCATGATATATATGTAAGCAATCACGCGTCTTATCAATTAAAGTTCTTATAAGAAAACTCGATTCCTGATGTATATAAATATAGTTCTTAGACATGAATTTCTGATTGTTTGCTAATCAGGAAGCCTAATAAGAGGGAATTCTAAACTTTTGACTTTGGAATTTGGGAATCTAATTTGATGATCAATGTAATTCAATCGATATCGAATGTCATTTAATGGACGGCAATTAGGATCATAAATGTTGAAATTCAAAAGTTTAAGTACAATTAGTTGACCGGTAATTTCAGGTGCTTTTGTGAAAAAATCTTGAGACATTCCGTCCATTAACTAATGTCCGTTTGCTATTAAATCACAGTTATAACATACTTTCAAATTGGGTTTTCATTTGTCGAATTGAAAATTGAAAATTCAAAAATTATTAAATATTAATACGTTCATGGTGCATCAAAATACAATATATAATCTTTAAGGATACCGGCTTGAAATAACAATAATAAAAAAATAATTTCTTAAACCAATAATTTTTTTTTTTCTTTTGGTTGGAGCTTAAATGAGTTGTCTGTGTGAATGATACACATTACCAACATTGAAATTCTTGTCTTCGACGAGTATACGGATAGAAAAGCTCATCGGAGCCTACCAAACTCAAGTTTGAAATTTCTAAATTCTAAAAGATAAAAGATATCTTTATCTCTTTTTTTTTATATTTTTATATTTTTTATTTTATTATTTCCACAATGAGAAAAGATGGACAAACAGTCACGGATATCCACTAGCTTTTACAAGGTGTGTCTCTAAGCTTTTTAATATTTTTATCATAGAAATCCAGCAAAACCAATTAATCAATTAACAAATAACGACTACACCTCTTTTTATTTTTTATTTTATTTTATTTTTTTTTAAGTTGATTGGAAGAATCAAATATCTTTTCCACAACCTTTTGGTAATGGACTTTTACTAATGCTCTCTTTCTTTCCATCAATTTGTCAAAAAAGAGTAGGTCCTTCCCCTTTGCTTTCTTATGTTCGGTACCTGTAGTCGACTGAAGATATCCTGTGCATGTGTTTCTCTTTGTTCTCTTTTCTAAATGAGAGATGATTATTTGCACATTATAACGAATCATAACTGTTTCGAACGACATTAAAGAATATGGGCAATTATGAAAGTGTCCTTTAACGTTTTAATTTCTTAAAAAACCAACCTTTTATTTTCACTTGTCACAATATAATCAGTCCTTTACCATTGAGTTAAATATATAATGATTAGAATTTGAGTTAAATATATAATGTTACTTGCCAAATAGGGTGGAGGATTCTTACCTCTCCAAATTTTCTTATGGCCCGAAAACTTGAAGCAAAATATTTCCCTTCTTCGATCAAGTTTTCTTGAGACGAGAAGTGTGTAATAATCCATCTTATATTTGACAAATCATTTGACAGAATATCTTATATCCTATATTTGATAGTAAGGGGATGTATGCAATGAGGTCGGGGATTTGAAAGGGAGGAAAAAAGGGAGGAGGGTAAGAATTCGAGGCTCCGTTAATTTCGCTGATTCGAGTTTTACTACAGTAAAAAGTTATCACAAACAATCATATCTAACTTTTTTACTACAGTAAAAAACTATCATATAAAATCATATCTGAACTCGAATTAAAAATTTAAATCAACGAACTAAACGGGAGGTCAATCCATTTACACTTTATCAGTCATGACTCGTCTAGCTTGAATAGGGGTGAAGGTGTTCGTGATGTGAGATACTCTCCGTTGATGGCTCATCAAGCTTAGTGCATTAGTGATAAAGACGAAATACGTGTAGGAAACTTGCTCGGGCATGAACCAAATCAGATTCCATAATATATATGATGATAAGGTCCGAGACAAATTCAAAAGTCAAAAACCTTACCAGCATTCACCTGAAAATATCTTGGTGCGTTTAGAATTGATTTTAAATTATTTTTAAAAATATTTTTGCACGTCTTTTAAGATACTGAAATGAAAACGGTTTGTAACCCGTGTTTATTTAACAAATATTTTGAAAACAAAAACAAAAATAAAAAACAGTGATAATAATTTTTGTGAAGGAATTAGAAAATAGCTGAAAATTTTTTTCCTTTTTTGTTTTCATTTTCTAGTACTTTTCAATAATATTATAATATATTAATTAATAATTATAAATAAACATAATTTCACTTTTTTATTATACACAAAATAATTACTTAAAAAATTAACTAAACGTAATTTTAAAATCAGTCTTAAAATAATTTTTAAAATAATTTCACTTTTATTTTTCTACTGAAAATAAAATCATCATGAAAACTTTATGAAACGGGCCCTCTATTTTCAACTCAGATAGTCGAGAGAAATCCACTTGAAGATAACTACCAAAGATTCGAATAAGTGCTCAGAAGAAGTTAGAAATAAAGTTCTAAGAATATGGGTTAGATATCGATAAGGTAGGCTTAGGCTTAGCTAGCCTACTTAGGAAACTATAAATAGAGCATGGACCCTGCGTGGCAATCCTAAGTCCATTCTCTTGGCATAAGCTCTCGAAATCTTTTGTAATTTTCTCATTTACATAGTGAAATCTCCCATTCTTCAAGAAAATTCAAAGCGGACGTAACTTGAAATTGAGGTCTGTGAATTTTTGTATCTTCAGTTTACTTCTCTTTTTCATTATTTGTAAGTAAAACATGCCAGCTAATACTTGATGAGATGATCGTGAGAGTTTTACTTATTAGACGAATTTTGACCGTCATCACTAGCCATTCACTTTGGTTGTGCACGTCAACTATGGAGGTCTGAAAGCAATGTTCAAATAGACCCATCTTCAACGATTTCTGGTTCTTTTAGTACATTATGGCATTGTTTATTTTACCGATTCGAATTTTGCTACAGTAAAAAATTTTAAGAAACAGTCACATCTAATTTTTTATTACAGTAAAAAACTCTCATATAAAGTCACATCTCAACTCGAATTGAAAAAACTCGAATTAGTAAACTAAACAGACCTTATGTGTATTTTTGACTCTTAAAAGGTCTGACCAGGATATAGAAGTCTTTTGCATGCTCGCTTAGAGTTTGTGGATTCATAGAAATAAATCCAAATCAAATTCCCTTAAGCGTTCACTAAACTGAAAATTAGTTATTTTTTGTTTGCAACATGGTAACTTGTTTAAGACAATAAGTAAATTTGGCGTGGGCGGTTGGTTGATTAGATGAAAATTAAGGCACACTGTACAGGTAAATTTAACATTGTATTGAACATAGAGAAACAAGCCCAATCAATCTTTAGACCTTTAGCCTGCTCTAGGACTAGCAGGGTCCGGCTTATAGTGGTTCGTTCATATGAATGTTTGAATCCACTTTTTTCCTTAGCCCATATCAGTTTGTTTGTTTGTTTTTTTGTTTTTGTTTTTTTTTTTTTTTGTATGAACTTATCCCATATCAGTTATTGAATCTTGTTTAAAGCCCATCTTGCTATTATCAGTTATTGAATCTTGTTTAAAGCCCATCTTGCTATTACTATTAGCTCGGCCTTGGTTCATTTATTGCAGAATTTCACGTTCCATTTCCCATGGAATTTCTTTGGTGAATTCATTATGTTAAACAAGAGCTCGTTAAATGAATAAGCCAACGAACAAATGAAACAATAACAGAAACACCATCTATGCGTGGGAAAAAAAAAAAAAAAAATTGCCAAGGTCCCAACATATTTCAGCACCTTTTTCATGGCAATCTTTTGTTTTTGCTTTTAGCTCTCGTTGACGAAAGTATGGTTTAACTTCAACATTTATCTCAACCCCAAAACCTTTTTATTTTTACAGGAGCTTCTACCAAGATCAGGAAAAATAACTACCAGTAGTTTTTTTATTTTTAACCTTTAATTTATATTAAAAATTATCTATTATGAATATTTTTTTTAATTTAATATTATTTTAATTAAATCTGAAACACCCCAGTTTCACTTTTTAGTTTTGCTGGTCGCAAACTCCCAACTTCACAAATTTCTTCTCAAGTAAACGGTAAACCGCAACCTCAGGACCAGATCTATATCAAGAATCCTATTGGGTCCTGTCTCATCCATAACACCAAAACAAAGATAAGGTGATAAGTACACGTGGCAGAAACCCAGATACTGCTTCTGTGCACTTCACTTCACTTCTACAAACTCGCTCTCTCTCTTCTCTCTCCTATCTCCACACCCAAAAACCATGGCCTCACCAACTCTCCTAACTCCCACTTCTCAGCCAAAACCCCTTTCTCCCTTCAAGCCCAAATTCACCGCCACCGCCCTCAATGCCAATGCATCCGCCAACGATGCCGGAACTTCGATGACCCGCCGCCGCGAGTTCTTGTCCCTCGCCGCCGTCGTAACTCTATCTCCGGCGTGGCTCTTGCCAGTCCGACCGGCGATGGCGGCCGAGGACGAGGAGTACGTGAAGGAGACGGCGGAGGTGATCAACAAGGTCCGCACGACAATCAACATGGACAAAAACGACCCCAATGTCGCCGCCGCCGTCTCCGATCTCAGAGAGACGTCCAATTCTTGGGTGGCCAAGTACAGGAGAGAGAAGGCCTTATTGGGCCGGGCCTCTTTCAGGGACATGTACTCGGCCCTTAATGCTGTTTCTGGACATTACATCAGTTTCGGCCCAACAGCTCCAATTCCTGCCAAGAGGAAGGCCCGTATCTTGGAAGAGGTGGACACCGCTGAGAAGGCCTTGTCAAGGGGAAGATAATTTAGTATAAAGGCAAGCAAAATTTTTTTTTTTTTTTTTTTTTCATTTTTGAAACTATAAAAATCGAATTTGTATTTAAAAATTTAAATTTAAATTTATTCTCTTGGAGTTTGAGGTCCTAGGATATTCACTTCACTTGGTGAATCTACGAGGGAAATATATAGTGAAAACCTTGTTTGAGAAGTAACACTATGATGCATATTCCCAATTATCGTAAAAAATGCTTGTTCAATTTCCGAACTTTCCTTTGTGTTATAATATTAGAGACGTATTAACGTAATTTTGTGATCATTTTATGATTTTGAGAATTTGAGTTGAATATTCCGTAGAATTTACTTGTATGTCAGCATTAGGTACAATGTCAATGTGCCATGTGAAGCGGTCCTATCTATATAATACCTAGATTAAAAATACACATAAATTGTTTTCCAATTACACCTTTGTTAACGCAACATGTAGTAACTCTTAAAGGATAAATTGGTGGCCAAGCTCTATTTCCCTCCTTCCACACCGGTCCGTGGAAATTGGAATGAGTTTAGAAGGTTATAATATGAATGCTTAAGATGATTATTTCATTATTTAATCATCAGTTGGCATTATTGTTTTAACCATATTTATATGTGATGGTTTAACACAATTAAGTAGTTGATAAAAATTATGACAATTGATCATGAACATTAAGTTTAGTGAGCTCATAGTAATCTTTATAATTAATGTTTACGGTTAAGTTGTTGATTAACTTTGTATAGCAAATTGTATAAAACATCACATCATCAAATGTAGTTAAGTTAAGCACTTATTTCTGTAATTTAATAAGTAACCACCGATGTAAATTAACCCATTGAAAACTCATATATTATATGTATATATGTGTATACTTGTGTGTGTGAATATATATTAAAACAAAGGATCATTGCAAAATAAGGTTAGTTAGACTTATTTTAGACGTAAAGTTGCAAGCTTCAAGTTCTTAACCACATTTTCGTGCCGAAGTTAATGGTCTAAAACGCCTTGAGGCGGAAAGAAAAAAATGGTAGGAGACCAAACAATATCTACAGAATTAATTTTTCGGCCTAACTGTCTAGTTCACATGCAGATGTGTATACTCTACGGTTCCCTATGTCGCTAACTGATTGAAAAATCACAAGAAACAGTTAAAGGGTGGCAATTTGTGTTAGTAAATCGTATTCATGTCAATCTGTTTATTAATCGTGTTAAAAAATATCAATTCAAAATATGACGTGTTTATTAAACGTGTCAAAAATGTCAATCCAAACACGACCTATTTATTAATCGTGTCAACCCGTATAACTCGTTTAAATTAATATATTGAATAAATAATTAATATAATAATGACTTATTTAACACGGTTAAGACAAGTGTAACATGTTTATTGGTCAATTTATCTTTTCCTTCAAGAAAAATAAATGAATTTTACATACAAATATTAAAATTCACATTATTTGTATTTAATATGTCTTAAAATTTTATGTTATATTACATATCATTAGATTACAGATGACACATATAGTTAATCGTGTCAATTCGTATTAAGAGGTTAACCATAACCCAACCCGTCAATCTGATTATGACCCAAATCTATTTATAGTAATCCTAAACTCGCTAACTTTATACATGTTTCGAATTGTGTCATCGTATTGTTACCTAGATTGTTAACGTTAGAAACAGTCATCTAACAAGGTGCTCTTTAAAAATAATAAAAATAATAATAATAATAAAAAAGAACAGATTCGATTGCTTTTATGGATAATTGATAAAACTCGGGCTTTAACAGCGGAAATTATTAGGAGCTGGAGTTTCTTTAGTCAGCAATTATAAATGAGTAAATCATGGGTTAGAGACATGACATGGAAAGAATTGACCACTACTGTTCTTGGAAATGTCTTGCAATGCCCTTTTGCCCACAGATTTTGTCGAAATTAAAGGAAGGAAACGGAGAAGTTGTGGAAAAAACAACGTGGGTTTCGTCTTTTTGACTCTCAAAATTTGATCTAATCCGCAACACAAATTACGTAGTGCATTGTAAAAATTCAAAATGATAACCTTGATTGACTTCTATACATATATTTTATCATCATAATTGTCATAATCTAGTTATCCAAAATGATCCATTTCCGAAACTACTCGAAAATGTCCGAATCTACTTCAAGGACTAAGTCGGCCTAACTTTGTGAGTTACCAATTTCTCTTTCATGGAAGGAAATTCGTGAACCATTAATATGATTAGGCCTCCTTATCCAAAAGTGGACTTCTATACCAAAATTTTGTGTGTATGTATGTATGTGTATATATAAATATAAATATATATATATATAAGATGTAGATGGTGAAATCTACAATTAAATTTGTTAGGAGGTCAATGGTTGAATTCAGATAATTAAAGTGTTAGTATCTTGATCGCAGAGAAAATAAACGAATAAACAGAAAATAAAAATAGCGAGACACAAAAATTTATAATAGTTCTCTTGATAACCCATAGTACGTCTATTGTAGGGTACTCAGGATGTTCCTCTATGATATTGATGAAGAATACAATGAAGATCTTCGTAAATGTTAGGAGAATATGTGGTAAATACAACATAATGTCTAGAAAATTGCTGAAAAGCTTCTAGGAAAATATTATTTCTAGCAGCTGATTTCGTGATTTAGTCTCAATCTCCGAGACATATGAGGATACGTGTATGATGAAAAATGAGGAATGAAATTTGACCTTAGATGAAAACTTTTATGCTTTGGTTGTGTATTTGAAGTAAATCCAACATGGAATCAAGTAACATAGAGACATAGCCATAAGGAATATGTGTACAAACTTTATTGATTTTATTTCCTTTTTCTCCAAGTGTATTGACTAACCAAGAAAGAATTCCATAAATCAAGGAACCTTCAAAGTCTTTTCTTTCCTTCCGCAATAACTTGGTTTAAATTTCATGTTTCCTTATTCTTGGACATGCCATTTGAGCTTCGGCAGCCCCTATTTTGAGCTTGGCACCCCTTTAATTGTGGGTTGAATATTGTACCCTTTTTTAATTTTTTAAAAGGCAATTTCGGCTTGACATTTCACATTAATAGGCCTCGTCTAGCTTAGACTCCGGTCTCTCTACTCTTGAAGGAACTTGACCAAATATTGAACGACAAATCGCTTGGGATGTTCTTGCCGAAACCATAAGCATATTCCTGTTCATTGAAATTTTGGAATTAATTGCACAATTATGCTTTTAAGTCTATCTTTTCATTTTCTTACCATTTTCATTCACTTAGCGGAATTACAATATATGTTTACTTATAATATTGAAAGATATTCTACCTACGGGGCTATATGTTGAGTGATACGAGTGACATAAATTCTAATCCACTACCTAATTCTCTAAGGTGGCTTGGCTTTCTGGTTAAGTATTATTTTTTTTATAACGAGCTATCAACATTCAACCTACGTCATTTCCTTGTGACGTTTTGTTGAACACGCTTTTTCTATTGCATGCAATATGCCAACACGTTTAGTTTTTTTTACAGGAATAAGCTTCTCTTCTCAGTACAAAAAATTCCATTAAATTTATATCTTTTTGCATCAAATTGATCTTCTTATACGCATGACGGGCGATGATTTTTTTTTTTTTTT